ACTTGATATTTACAGTGTAATGCAAAGTAACTTGTGATGTTTACAGTGCAATGTAACATGCAAGGAACTTGATATTTACAGTGTAATGCAAAGTAACTTGTGATGTTTACAGTGCAATGTAACATGCAAGGAACTTGATATTTACAGTGTAATGCAAAGTAACTTGTGATGTTTACAGTGCAATGTAACATGCAAGGAACTTGTGATGTTTACAGTGCAATGTAACATGCAAGGAACTTGTGATATTTACAGTGTAATGTAACATGCAAGGAACTTGTGATATTTACAGTGTAATGTAACATGCAAGGAACTTGTGATATTCACAGTGTAATGTAACATGCAAGGAACTTGTGATATTACAGTGTAATGTAACATGCAAGGAACTTGTGATATTACAGTGTAATGTAACATGCAAAGGAACTTGTGATATTCACAGTGTAATGTAACATGCAAAGGAACTTGTGATATTCACAGTGTAATGTAACATGCAAAGGAACTTGTGATATTCACAGTGTAATGTAACACGCAAGGAACTTGTGATATTCACAGTGTAATGTAACACGCAAGGAACTTGTGATATTTACACACTGATGTAACACGCAAGGAACTTGTGATATTTACACACTGATGTAACACGCAAGGAACTTGTGATATTTACACACTGATGTAACATGCAAGGAACTTGTGATTTTTACACACTGATGTAACATTCTCCATTTCAAGTCTATCAAGTGTAAATATGAACGTTTTAATCTTAGTAGCTTGTTATACAAGTTTTCACATGAAACATAGATTTTAAGTCAAAACATTATTTACACACCACATGGTTTATGTGTAATTGAATGCATTCATATTGTTCATTTACTTGGTTATCAAGTGTCTATTTGGGAATGAATTCCCTTCTCATAACATGTTGTTTTCTACTAATTTGTGATAGTTTTGTTATTGAGTGACTGAAGAAATGAGATAGGCTGTTTTAATTCAAAATTCTATGACTTTTGTCACCAAATTTTCTGTAGTGACGTTCATTCATTATTCGAATAACTTAGAACCATCAAAGTTCAATTTTTTGTTCCAGAAACTCTCCTGTCAGAGTCAGGCAGTTATATTTAGCCTTCACTTATCGTGGTCGTAATATCCACTTATCCTGGACCTTCTAACATCTCTTGTAGTTACATAGTTTATAATGAATTACTGAATGTCTTAGCTTACAGTTGCTCTTTATTTCAGGTTCGAGGAAGTGATGCAACTGAGCTAGAAACTGACTTCCAGGCACTCGCTTTAGAGACTGGTCATCCACTTGAGGTAAATGCCTACTTGTGCCACATTGTATATAAATTCTAAACTGTAAATGTAAGTCATAACCCCTTAATGAGATTAGTGTTTTTTTTTCTCTAGATATTTTAAAGTTCCAGTAAAGTTTGTATTATAAGCTTGGTCCTCTGCTTGCTTTTATATTAAAGTTTGTGTTGTAAGCTTGTTCTTATGCTTGCCATTATAGCAAAGTTTATGTTGTAAGCTTGTTCTTATGGTTGTCTTTATTGTAAAGTTTGTGTTATTGTAAGCTTGGCTTTCTGCTTGCCATTATAGCAAAGTTTGTGTTATTGTAAGCTTGGCTTTCTGTTGCCATTATTGCAAAGTTTGTGTTGTAAGCTTGTGCATGGTCTTCTGTTTAACTTTATAACAATATTGGTGTTGTATTTTAAGCTTGTTCTTATGCTTGTCTTTATTGTAAAGTTTGTGTTATTGTAAGCTTGGCTTTCTGCTTGCCATTATCATAAGAACAAGCTTACAACATACTCTTTGCTACAATGGCAAGCAGAAAGCAAGCTTACAATAACACAAACTTTACAATAAAGACAAGCATAAGAACAAGCTTAAAATACAACACCAATATTGTTATAAAGTTAAACAGAAGACCATGCACAAGCTTACAACACAAACTTTGCTATAATGGCAAGCAGAAAGCCAAGCTTACAATAACACAAACTTTAACAATAAAGACAAGCATAAGAACAAGCTTACAACACAAGCTTTGCTACTTACAACAAACCTTTCTATAAATATAAGCAGAAGATCAAGCTTACAATAAACTTTACTATAAATACAAGCAGGAGATCAAGCTTACAAACTTTACTATAAATAAAAGCAGAAGACCATGCTTACAACAAACTTTACTATAAATACAAGCAGAAGACCATGCTTAAAATACAACACCAACATTGATATAAAGTTAAACAGAAGACCATGCCTATGATACAACACAAACTTTGCTATAATGGCAAGCAGAAAGCCAAGTTTACAATATAACACAAACTTTACAATAAAGACAACATAAGCAGAAGATCAAGCTTACAACATAGACTTTGTTATAAATACAAGCAAAGATCAAACTTACAACAAACTTTACTATAAATATAAGCAGAAGATCAAGCTTACAACAAACTTTACTATAAATATAAGCAGAAGATCAAGCTTACAACATATTTTGTTATAAGTACAAGCAAAGATCAAATTTATAGTAAAGTTTGTTGTAAGTTTGATCTTTGCTTGTATTTATAACAAAGTCTATGTTGTAAGCTTGATCTTCTGCTTATGTTTATTGTACAGTTTGTGTTGTGAGCTTGGTCCTCTGCTTGTCTTTATAGTAAAGAATGTGTTTGAAGCTTGGCCCACTGCTTTTCTTTATTGTAAAGTTTGTGTTGTAAGCTTGTTCTTCTACTTGTGTTTATAGTAAAGTTTGTGTTGCATGTTTGGTCTTCTGCTTGTATTTATAACAGTTTGTGTTGTATTTTAAGCATGGTCTTCTACTTGTATTTATAACAGTCTGCATTGTATTGTAAGTTTGGTCTTTGCTTATGTTTATAGTAAAGTTTGTGTTGTGTGTTTGGTCTTCTGCTTGTATGTATAACAAAGTCTGTGTTGTATTGTAAGTTTGGTTTTCTGCTTGTGTTTATAGTAAAGTTTGTTGTAGGCTTGGTCTTCTGCTTGTGTTTATAGTAAAGTTTTTGTAGACTTGGTCTTCTGCATGTCTTTATAACAATGTCTGTCTTGTATGTTTGGTCTTTTGCTTTTATTTCTAGTAAAGTTTGTTGTAAGTTTGGTCTTCTGCTTGTGTTTATAGTAAAGTTTTTGTAGACTTGGTCTTCTGCATGTCTTTATAGCAATGTCTGTCTTGTATGTTTGGTCTTTTGCTTTTATTTCTAGTAAAGTTTGTTGTAAGTTTGGTCTTCTGCTTATATTTATAACAAAGTTTGTGTTGTATTTTAAGTTTGATCTTCTGCTTGTGTTTATAACAAAGTGTGTGTTGTATTGTAAGTTTGGTCTTGTATTTACAGTAAAGTTTGTTGTACGTTTGGTCTTTTGCTTGTATTTATAACAAAGTTTGTATTTTAAGCTTGGTATTTTGCTTTTGTTTATAACAAAGTTTGTGTTGTATTGTAAATTTGGTCTTCTGCTTGTCTTGATAGTAAAGTTTGTTGTACATTTGGTCTTCTGCTTGTATTTATAACAAAGTTTGTATTTGTATTTTAAGCTTGGTATTTTGCTTTTGTTTATAACAAAGTGTGTGTTGTATTGTAAATTTGGTCTTCTGCTTGTCTTGATAGTGAAGTTTGAGTTTTACGTTTGGTCTTCTGCTTGTATTTATAACAAAGTTTGTGTTTATATTTTAAGCTTGGTATTTTGCTTTTGTTTCTAGACTGGTTTGTGCATTAATTATTTGAAAGGTTCCATGAATTTTGTGTTTGTTTGAGCTTTATTTGCTTCTAAAACATCATTAATTATATTTTTAAAGAAGAATTATATAATATAGAAATATTAACTTTAAACACATTTTCACAGGACTGCCATTTTAATTACAGATGTGAGCTTAGTGATGTGATCCATGATTTTCCTGTATTTACATTAAATTGACAGTTTTGTTTAATTGACATCAGGAAACTGTAAGCATGTTTTTACTTACAAAAAGTATTCAGTTTCTCCTCCATAAATTTCTTGACCTATCAACACTAGAGATTGCATTTATGTAGACTTCCACATTATATATATATACCTAGAAAATTTTAATAAAATGGCAAGAAGTAAAAAAATAACAGAACAGTGTTTCTAGAATGCAGATGTAACAAAACCTAATAGTTTAAGTTACCAAGTATTTTGATGTAACAAACATTCTAAGGATTCTCTTAAAATTGTGTACTTAAAATACTCTGGTTGTGTATATCCAAAATCTGTAGGAGTTCAGTAATAAGGAGCAAATTTGGATTTTGTTATGCCTGCCTCCCCATTTGAGAATTTAAACAGAGTTGTCACCACAATAAAACTAATATTATTTGATTAGACTCTGGGTTTTTTTATTACTTATTCCATATTCGGTTTTAATCTTTGTAAGATTAAGTTATAGTAATTAAAACTTTTATGGCACAGAGTATCTTATTTTGATGTATTAAAGCTTCTTTATGATTATATGATCAATACTGTTTAATACAAAATTCTATATTATTGTTGTGAAAATTTCTCTTCTTAATTGAAGTTCTTTCTTTTAAAAAATACCGAACCTTTGGTTACGTTATTACACGGCTAACTTTTAAAAATTTGATGCATACAATACAATTTTCATAAAAGTAAAACATTACAGCAACTAGAATGAAGAAGTTAAAACATTGTTTGCACGACAGTACTAATGTATCTGAATAAACTTTCTAGTTTTATTCATACCTAAATGGTTTTTGTACTTTGTAAGATAGTTATAAAAAGTTTAATTTACAAAATTACTTGACATTCTACTTTCATATGTTGGTTGAAATAAATTTAGTCTACTTGAAAATACCCAAAATACTGGGTTTTTTGTTTTGGCTAAGTACGCATTTGCCCAATAAATAAAATTAGTTATGACTATACATTTCCCTTGAGTGTTTGAGTTACTGCATAGCAATTACATTGCTGTAAACTAACATATAAACATGGAAAACAATACTGGATTGTCTGTAAAAACGTACACAGTATTATTGCCTGATAAGGGAATAGATCTTTCATTTTTTTTCTTAATGTTCAACAGTACACAAGTTTAACATATAGCTTTGAGATATCTACTATTTCTGTATACCACTACGTGTGTGGTGTTTGGATGCTAGGCGTTAGGCACTCCAAGTGATATATGTTATCTTAGTTGATTTGGAATAATGTTACATTATAAATTATCTGTTTTGATGTAATGTTTAATAAACAGGTGGTTGTTATGGTAGGAAATTATCTGTTTTGATGTAATGTTTAAACAGGTGGTTGTTATGGTAGGAAATTATCTGTTTCGATGTAATGTTTAAACATGTGGTTGTTATGGTAGGAAATTATCTGTTTCGATGTAATGTTTAAACAGGTGGTTGTTATGGTAGGAAATTATCTGTTTTGTTATAATGTTTAAACAGGTGGTTGTTATGGTAGGAAATTATCTGTTTTGTTATAATGTTTAAACAGGTGGTTGTTATGGTAGGAAATGTGTGTAAAAGTAAATGTTTTTAATGCTACAATAACCTCTGAAACATTGTTAATGACTAATAGATAGTGTGGCTTGCTGAACTATCACTAGTGTACTTATACATTTAGAGCTGGATGATTAGTGAAATTTCCTGATTAAGTGTCGGACACATTAATAGGTTACGTTCGACTGATTGATTATTTTCATAAGAGACTCACCTTAATATTTTAATTTGTTTGAGGTTTTTGTAAAGACGTTTTCATATTACCTTTCATTTAATATGATAGACTTCTTTGGAACGTAAGATTAACATACTATTGTAATCTAATTTGTTATACATGAAAATGAATCATGCACTGAATGAGAGCGAAATCTGTAACAAGCAGAAAATATGATTGGTACTATTCAGTGGGTTTCTTCCTACGAATCTTTACATGACTATTAAAACTACTGTTGATGAAAAGAAATGTTACTTTGTAATATTGATTGTAAATCAGAAAAATACTTAAGTGACAAGTGAGCTTACATTAGATACCATGTTTAGTTCTGGGTAAACTTTATGATTTTGTATATTAGCAGAACTATATCAAGGCAAACAAGCACATGGTGATGAACAGAATGTCTACAACTAGATGATTAGGCCTAGAAGGTGTTGATCAACCATGTGAAGATATTGATACTATAGGTGTATCTTTACATTGGGCCAATGATCTGAACAATATATGACACTTGTCATTGCACATTATGAAGGCTGAGTTGCAATTGTAACTTACTTACACATAATCAAAACTTGTCTTCAATCTTCAGTACTTCTTATCTAGCTAGAGCTAGTCTGTTTAAACAATGATTCTGTTCTTGTAAATAATTAATGACTTATTGATGTTACATATTGTCAGTCTGTGTCAACTAGTAAATACTAACTTGTCGTAACTTTTCTTATGGAAGCAGAGCTTATCCTGAGTAACACTGGTTTGTTTGTATCTTGTCACGAGTAAGCAACATACTAAGTTAAAGCTTCACTGCTGTTTAGCCCAAACAAGGTAAACACAAACAACAGGTATAACTGTTGCTAGATATGTAACTAATGGCCACTAGGCCACACTCACATATTCATGGTGGATAGCCTAAGTGACTTTACAATAATTCAGAAACAAATATAATGTTCCCAAGGGTGAAAGAGCAAGCATGCTTTGTTTGGTAGCAGTGGGAATTGCTCCTGACCCTCGAACCAAGAGGCAACTATCCTAATCACTGGGCCATGTTGGCTTGAGGCTAAAACAAACTCTAATTAATCAAACAGATTATGAAATCATAATAGCAATATTTAAATTACTAGGATAGGTCGAGTAAGTGAAACTAGTAATAAAATGAAACACTATAATTTCTATTAGTTGATTATTTAACACTGTCACTACAAGCATCTGTTCTCTAATTTATTTACCACCCCTCCGAGAAATATGAAATTTAACATAAATTACTTATTATAATGTGTCATTGCTTAGGCAAAGCATAATTTTTATAGCTTTCAATATTATTTGATTATAGAGTCATCAAATAGAACACCAGACTCCTCTTACCACATCCACAAGCCGTGTCCTCTCTTTCAGAAATAGCAAATATTTTTCTCAAACATTGAATACTATTATTTATAACCAATAGAAAGACAAGGTCTTAATCTCTCAAATGATATATTATAATACTTTGGTTTCTGCACAGAGAAATGTCTATTTTGCTTCCAGTTCAAACCATATTCCCGTTGAAAATGCATCGTCTGGCTCAGCTGAATTTTTAATTGCTTTTGTTGCAGAGTTACAAAGCCTGAAAAATTGGGATAGTTATGGGACATTGTCTGCTTTTTGCATGTTATTACTCTGTTTTCTTTGGTTTATTATTTAATTAAATAACTTATTTTGTGTAATATTACCATTAGTATTTTAAAAAAAGTAGGGTAAAGTGACAGCAAAGAAAGAGAAGACCCAGGTAAATACTTTATTTCTTGTTTTTCGTGTTATTTTTTATTTATTATTGTAAAAGTAAGTAAAATGTAAAAATTAGAAACTTTTTAGTTAATTAAGTAAAATAATTAATAATAAATGCATCATTTAATTCAATAGGGTAACTTGAGCTACACATTTGCATTATGATTTACAACTAGTATGGCATGAATATTAGTTACAGTTCAAATTGCAATAAAACATTAAAATTTAATTATAAACAGATGTATATTGTTGAGTTTAAAGCTATTTAGGATAAAGAAATGTTTCATATTACAATTTGAAGTCATTCTAGAAAGAAAAAAGTTAATTTAGATTTATTTTATATTTTTTGTGGTGGTTACGAGGTTGGTCAAATTAATCAACTTGGTATAGAGTTAGGGTAGAGAAAATAGCATAAAATGTAAAGTTTTACTGAAAAAAAATGTTTGAAATTTATTTAGATTAAGCAAACGAAATTTCAGATTTGTAAGGTGAAGAAAACTATTTTTAATCTGAAGATGAAAATAACTTTGCACTCAGAGCAGTCAAAACATTGAATCCATATATTCATGGAGAAGTTTTTAGTGGAAATACTTCATTAAAAATTCTAATTTGTATGTCTACAAATAACTCTTAATAATTACTGAAAGCTTGCAAAATTTCATGAAGATAAATAAACGTATTAGAAGTTATAATATGGAAATTATAAAGGTCAGTTTGGGATTACAAACTTGGCTGACTCGACTGAGCTTGTAGTGAGAGTGTTAATTGTAATTTTGATTCATCGTTAATATTACATGACACTGATGTAATTGACGTGCTTGGATTATTTATTCTGTCTGTTATTTGACAAGACACCACAACCTGGACAAGTGAGAATAATGGATTAGTTTAAGTTTTATAAACGGTATGCACCTCATGTTTGAGCCAGAATTAAAGCTTCTTTAGTTTTTTTCAAACAGATTCCAGGGTCTGTAAAGAAGCTTCCAGTATGGGGGATGGAAGACAACAAACCAGATGATGACAAGGGGCTATTTCTTGCAGACCAGTGGAGAGAGGGAGCATGGAGCACTGGTCATAACAGTGTTTCAGGTAGCAATTTCATTACCTCCTATGTCAGGGGTTGGCAACCCTTCAAAGAAGAAGAGGAGCCATTTTTTTGTTTTTGTGTAAAACCAAAACATTTTGAGAGCCACAGTGTGCCCTGACGGTCTAACTATCAAAAAAAAAAAGAATCCCCTTATGGAATGGCAGTAAGTCTTTGGATTTACGATGCTAAAATCAGGGGTTCGATTCCCCTCGGTGGAAACAGCAGATAGCCTGAAAGCCGCACAAATCTCCATAACCCTCTCTGCCCGGGCATCATTTACTGCACTTGTTTTTGAGGTTTTAGTGACATACATTCAAAGATTAATTAACCTACTTTTTGTTTATGGTATACTAATTAGTATAGCATAAAATTGTAGCTAATAATCCATATTTTAATAGTATACAAGTTTTAAGTTCTTAATTTTATAATGAATATTTTAAGAAATCCTGAATTTCCACTAGTGTGAGAAATGTGACTTATTTTCTCTAGGCATCCCCTCTTCTCTATTTTATTCACCACCCCTCCAATAAGAACGAAATTTTAATGTAAATTACTCACTATAAAATCATCATTGCTCAGACAAAGCATAATTTTTATAGCCTTCAATCTTATTTGGTTACAGAACCATTAAATAGAAAATCAGACCCCTATTGCCATACTCCTTGTCACATCATCTCATTCAGGATTTGTCAGTAGTTCTCGCTTACATTTAATATTTTTATCTATAACCAATTGAAAACCCACCAGTGGCACAGCCATATGTCTGCAGACTTACAACGCTAGAATCCGGGTTTCGATACCCATGGTAGGCAGAGCACAGATAGTCCATTGTGTAGCTTTGTGCTTAATTACAAACAGACAAACTAATTGAAAGCCAAGGTTTTCATTTATCAAATGACGTATTATATTACATTGTTTTCTGAACAGAGAATTGTCATTTTCTCTGTTAGTACAAGCTTCATTCCCATGGTAAACATAACGACTAGCTTGGATGAATTTGTAACAGCTCTCGTCATATAGTTAGAAAGCCATAAAAATTGTGATAATTAGTGGAAATTGTCTGCTTTTAGCTTGTTATTATTCTATGTTCTTTGGTGCATTATTTAATCAAATAAAAAAAATTTAGTACATTACTACCATTAGTATATATAAAAAAAAAAGTAGGGTTAGGTGTCATCAGCAGCTGGTAGCAAAAAAAAAAAGATCTTTATTTCTTGTTTTTCATTCTTAATCTTTACATGTTATTATAAAAATAACTAAACGGTAAAAATAGGGACCTCTTTATGTTAGATTAGGTAAAATAAATAATAATAAAAATGTTTCGCAAGGCATGCACGTAAGCAGCTCGGAGTAGCTTGTGGGTAATGTAATTCAATACCATAACATGAGCTCCACGTTCCCCAAGTGATTTACAGCTTATAATGGCATGAATAGTAGTAGTTAGATGTGGTTCAAAGGGCAATAAAACAATAAAATTTAAGTATAAATAGATGTGTACTGTTACAAGTTTAAAGCTACTTAGGATAAACAAATTTAGTTTCATGTTTTTTTTACTGGTCCGTGTGCAAAGTGATTTTCATGTTAAGATAAAAATACTTTTCTTCATCTCCAAAATCTTAAATTTCATTTGTGTAATCTCTAAAACATTCCAAATACATTTGAAATTTTTTGTTTTCAGTGAGTAAAACCTTATATTTTATCTGTTATTTTCTGTACCCTAATTCTATACAAGGTTGGTCAATTTGATCGACCTCATATCCCCTCCTCCCCAAAAAAGATCGAAATAAATCTAAATAACCCCTTTTTTTCTTTCTAGAATGACTTCAAATTGTTTTAAACAAGATGTGTACATCTTCACAAAATTTGGCAGACTTTCAGCAAACATTATAAGTCTTTTGCATAAAAAATATCATATTTCTTCATGAAGTATTTTTAATAAACTAAAAAAAAAAAGATTTGTCTGTGAATATACAAGTATGAGTACAAGGTCACATGGTCCATCAGTTTAACCAAGCCCGTGATGAGAGAGTTACAGAGTCGTAGGTTACCGACCCCTGCCATAAGTTGATGCCACTTTCATTAGGTGCTTTTGATCCCTAACTCTTCAGGTTGTGATCTCATAATTTCCTTATGTATAATACCCTCTCTCATAATGTTTTGGATATAAAATGCCATCTGTGCACATGTATTGCTGAGACTTCATATTTCTTTATTATTGCAATCAGTTGAATTCCCTACTATTAACTTCTAAGTTACTGAGCCAGGAAGCAAGAATAGTCATTAATGCTTTGTGTAAAGTTTACAGCAGATAATAATTAATAATTTTATTGTATAAATTAGAACTTGATCTGTATCACCACAACAATAGAACATTTCATATTGTAACAAATCATTGTATAAATTAGAACCTGATCTGTATCACCACAATAGAACATTTCATATT